GCCGAGATGGGCGGATTCCTCAACGTCGTAGGAGTGCGGGGTGCTCTTCATACCTGTCTGCGGCACAGAGGTCTAGATGCGCAACAGCACGATCCATGGTAAGTAGACCATTTCACGCCGTGCTGTTCCGCATGCCAAAGCTTCTCTGCCGCTTTGCTAGAGATGCTCTTTTCTCTTACATGCCGGTACTGCTTGTTACCTTTGCTGCTCGGGTCCCTGCCAGGTACTTTCCCACTCTGAAGAGCTACAAGAAGATTTTGGAAGAGGAAGGATTCAAGGTGGAGCAATGTGAGCTGGTTCCAAGGCCCACGCCACTTCCTCAGCCAACGGGTCTGGAAGGTTGGTTAAAGGTGAGTGCTCACGTGCATCCATTTTCCCCGACCCTCTCGCGCTTCGCGCTGATTCCACGCGTTGACTTTCACGCCCCCACTCCATTCTCCTTCTACATCATGTAGACTTTCATACAACCTTTCACGTCCGCCCTACCGACGCAGCAAGAGCAGGATGAGCTGTTTCGCGAGGTCATAGAGATGCTCAGACCTGACTGCTACGACGCCGAACAGGACATCTGGACTCTGATGAATGTGCGTTTGAGATTTAGAGCCGTCAGACCTGCCTCTTCCACTTAAGGGCAAATGTCCGCAGCTCCAAGCCTCATGAGTACCGCACTCTTGGAACACAAGCCTTCTCGCTGCTCGCGAGCGTAATTTCAAACTAAAGATCTGTTCCGTCTGACATTTCCTGGCCACTCAAATTGAACCGTGTGATCATCTTCGACGCGCCGAGACCGATAGCAGGCGCAACGTTGTAGAGGAACCTCGAGTACTGGAGTCCCAGGTAGCTAGCTCAACAATTTCAATGATTTTGTATGAAGATGCAATTCAGAGAGAGACAGGCGACGAATCTGAGAGGGGAACAAATGTAGGTCTGATGGGATGACAAAGGGGGGTTTCGTGAACAGGGAAAAGGCTTGAGCGCTTGCACGGGGGACGTCGAAGAATGACTTGACGATGCAAGCAAGCAAAGCACTACAAAGTTTGAAAAGGTGGAGCGGGAGCTCTGATCAAGATGCCATGGGGGTGGGTTGAGGTGAAAGTCGACGAAAAGAAAGTGAAGTAAGTTCGTATGTGGGGGTTTCAAGGAAGGGTGAACGGTTCTCGATCCAACATGCTCAACGCCCAACACTGCCCGACGCAATTACGCGTCGCGGGCGAGTGCTGTCAAAACGAAACGGAGACTAACAGATATGGAAAATCGAGTTTGAACCGTTCGGGAAAAAAATGAGTGCTGGTCGACTTTCGCACCACTATGACGGTGGAAGTTTTGATCAAAGGTTGAAGCTGGAACGGCGAGTTGACGCGGGCGTAGCAAAGCAGGAGAACTGGACGTTGAGAATGATGACGAAGGGACGATCAACTCCAGTGCAGTCTCCGAGGCGTTGTCCAAAGCCACTCGGATGAGAAACGCAGGGGGAACGCGCATCGAGAGATGCGGGCTCGAAGCGTGGCTGTAGGATGCATGGCCGATACGTTCTTTCGCATAGCTTCGTGGATGTCCAGGTCGGCGCAGAGCTGACACGTGGACGGACAGACGGTCGAGGCCGTGGCAAGCGGCGGGACCGAAGAAAAAGTGGTGATGGGTTGCGCTACCGACAACAACGGTGAACAGAAGAGGGAAAGATGAGAAATTGGATGCGAAAGGGAGGAAGAGAAAGGGCCGGAAATCGAACTCACACTACGACGTCGCTGTTTAAAACAGGTAGGGCATCCGATGACCTCAAGTGTTGAGATCACCATCAGCGGTGGGATTGGTGCGACCTCCAGTGGCGGCGTGGATCTCCTCAACTGTGGCGATCTCACCCTTGCGAACGTGGACGCTCTGGTAGTGGCGCATGGTGTCGTGTTTGCGGGCAAAAGTACGCTCACACGGGCCATAAGGACAGTCAAAGGGCTTCTCGCGCTCATCGGCGGCGATGTGCGTGGTGCGGTGAGTCTTCAAGTTGTAGGCACGGTCAAAGTGCTTGTTGCACTTGTCGCAGATGAAGACCGAGCGCCCACCGACAGACTCTTTGAACTTGTCGACCCCGAGAAGCGTCGCACGGGGCGAAAGCTTGGCGGAGGAGCAGGTCTTCTTCGGCAGAGTCGTTGAGGCTGACGTGATTCCAGCCGTGGGCACGGGCACATGCTCTTCGGCCTGACGGTCGTGCTTGTGGTACAAGCTGACGGGCGACGCCACGCGCTCCGACGGCGAGGTCGATCCGTACGACAGTTGAGAAGCAATCTCCACGCGCTCCTGCGATGCGATGAGAGGAGACTGGGAGGAGCGTGGTGCAGCGCCAGTCAACGGACTGAGAACCTCCTCGACGACACCTTCGGGCAGAACGACACCAGCAATGGCTAGCGCACGTACCAGAACGAAGGTGTCGTCAGTGGGGTTTTCCGAAGCATAGGTACGGAGGAACGCAGCAGCCTTCTCGGATGAATGTTTCGATGCCTGAGAGTCCATCGGCGAGGCTGAGCGGGTGGGTATGCCCGAGGCGAAGGCGTCGTTGACGGAGGCTTGGCTGTTCTGGGGCGATGCCACAGGGTGGGCAGGGTACTGTCCG